ATTTTAGCGCACGCTAGGGCTAAATTTAGCGCTTGCGTTAGCGCACGCCACGCAAGAGAGATTTAGAATAGCGTTTCTCCGCCGCGACGCAAAAGCCCAAGCATCTCGCGCTTGCAACGCCACCAAGATACGGTCACAGTTTTTATGTCACACACGACATGCTGTAAATTGAGAAAAAAACAAGATTTTTGGTCTGGAGTAAGATTTTACATTTGTTTAAACGTGAGAATGCGACGCAAGCGGTCGACAGGCCGTGTCCAAATGCGTCGCCTCGGCGAGAGTGTACTGACCTTCGCCGATAAACGTTCCCTCGTCGCAAGCATGAAGTTGCCGGTGATCGTTGCCCACCTTTCTGGGGTTTTTTAAACCGAGTGCTACGTCGTCCCATTTTGAAAATCGCAGTCCCGAGGATGCCGCCGACGTCGTACTCACGACGCCGCTAAAGCGGCCGCAGCCATGGTCCTGGGGGCCGCCATTTTTTTAGCTGTGCTCGTCTTGGCTTTAGCCAACTTCTCATCACGAATCCTCCTTGAAGGAGCGCAAAGACCCTTTGCGTACGCACGCAATTTCCGAGAAATATCGAACGCTAAAAGAGCGCACGTAAAGCGCAAAACGTGGTTAGCGTACGGCGCATGCGCAGTGGCGACGACGCTATTCTTTGCGTACGCAAAGCTTTAGCGTGCGCTATTCTAAAACCCCCTAATAAGGGGTTAATAGATTGGACACGCCTTTGCTCGTCGGGTGGGAAGTGAATCTCGGGTACTCAGTCATATTTTTCCCGACAACACGGCACGCAACACTTATATAATATGGCATTGATCCTCACATTCGCATAGACGAAAACACTCGAGATTGTGGTTGCCGATGGACGCCGTGAATACGCACGCGTCTTGTTCCACTTCCTGCGTTGCCCGATTGCGCACCTAATGTCTGGCTTTGCACCGCTCGCGAACCGCCTGCAGTCTGGGAAAGTTACGTCGCCACGTCGCGTTAACTTCTTATATATATATATACTATATTCGATGTAACTCAGACCAAACGCATGAAAAATAACAGCGCATTAAAAAAAAGTGCTTCGTCAGCATCGTCTCAGATGTTCAGCGGTAAAAACCGTCTGCTCCCTCTCCTTGCTTGGCCTAGGAGCAGTGAAGTAGCTGACGTGACAAAACGAAGCGCGCAGGGTTTAGTTCCTAAGCTTTGGCTAGATGGCGCAATCTGCCGCCCAATTAAGAGGGTTCAGCCGTAGTTATCCACCCCACAGCGCGTACTCGTTGTCACCGACGACCGACGCAGGCTCTGTGCTGGTTCGTCGTCCTCAACGTCTAGTTTAGTGCCTCAGCGACGTGCCCTCGGGTGACGAAGGCTCAAAGGTCACGGCATTGGCGGACAACTTGTGACGCCGTTGAGCGCAGTTTTCTGAATCGCCTCGACACACTATAAAGCAGACAACTACGACCTTCCCGGACACTCGTGGACAGGCAGCGTCATTCGTTGCTCGAACAGACCTTGTTTTGGATTATTGGAGTGTTTGAGGTAGCACAGTGTGTCACGAGAGAACGGAGAAGATCGATTGATAGCTGCAGCGCGAGGACACACCATCGAACCTCCCCTGTATATGTCCCGTAGTTATGTTAAATCATAGCCTCCTCTATACTGACAAAGCCTGGCATATCGCCACGAGACGCGGTCGCCGAAAGTGAAAAGGTAGAGCGGCAGACAACGGATGAGAGGAGAGGCATGTAACGGGCGCCCCGCTGCGGCGAGACAAGGTGTAAGAAACTTGTGCCGAGCGATGGAATGTCCGCTCGTGCTTCTCGCGTTCCTCGGGCTGTACCGCTTCTTTTCTCGCCGGGGTTGAAAAGCATGTTTCGGGTCCTCGCCGCTGCAAAAGCTGTGCGCTGACTACAGGCTCCCCGAGAAATGCTCTGAGCTACCATATCCTCGCGCTCCAAATCTGCGACCGGGCACTCTATATGGCTCCGTAATCGAGCTGCCAGGCTTTGCGGGTATAGGCCCGTAGCTCTCAAGTTTTGAGCAGCGCTCCAGGCGAGCAAAATAGAATATTTGGCTCGCGTTCTGAACATGCGTGAATACGCTTCCCCACTAGAGTTTTTTTCTACTCCGTTTCATTCGAAGTGCCAGCGTAGCAGAGGCTACAAGAGCGAGCTGCGAGCTTTCAGCGTCCCTGTCAAGCACGCGCGCGCTCGTGCAGTGCAAGTATCTTTCAGGAGGACGTGCTTTTGTGAGTAGCTTCGCTATCACGTAAAGTGAAACATACGTGCTCGCGGAAGCTATAAAAGAAAGCAAAGATGAAAGGAATGTTTAATGGGACGCTGCGGCCGCGAGCTGCATAATTCTTTTTTTTTTTTAATTTTTATTTTTTTAGGGGCTTTGTTATCGCGCATCTTCAGATGCTTGCATTCGAACGTGGCACCTGCAAAATCTAACGTTACAGAGCCACCTGGATGGTTCAGCCATCATAACATGGTCGCGTATTGCGGATGAGCTCGCGCCCCCTGCCCCAGAGCAACGGGTCTATAGAGGAGGCTATAATTAATTTTTTTTCCCGGCAATTTGACCATGAACGATTAATTCTGCACCTACTTTAACAGACCCGGGAAGAAAAAAAAATACCGGATATTTGCGGAGAGGCGTTATCCAAAACCGTCCTACACCGTGCCCCAAACACAGCTCAGCGAAAAGAGAATCGTATCAAGAGCAGCGAGGAGAAAAGAGGGCCGGAAATTTCCAGCGATTCTGAAAGATTTTCTTCGCACCCCCCCAAAAGCGAGAAAAGGCTTAGAAAAATTGCTCCAACTCCTCCCCAATGAAATCGGAGTGGTGGATAGCAAGTGTGGCGCCGATTATACTCGGACAAAGAAACGGCCGGGCCGAGTTCAGCGGCCGACCGGGCTGGTCGCTGCAGCAGGAAGCCTTTCGAGGGCTACGCGGAGAATGCGAGCGCCCATCGGTGCCATTCTTCAAACCGGCGCTGACATCCCAAATTGGAACTCTCACTCGGCTGAAACGTGCACTCGCGGATACAGAACTCACCCGCGCTGCGCCTATAGCCTACAAAGAAACTGAAAGAAGAAAGGCGTAAAACGGCGCAGAGAAAGGCGCAATTGCTTCTTGAAGTTGAGCCAAGAGGAAAACTTTCCCTCTGTGTCTTTTTTTTTTCTTTTTTAACATCTTTGAAGTCGACATACGATAGCTGTACCTACGTTAAAAAATCCACCAACTCCCGCTCCCTAAAAAAAAAAAAAAAATGTACTGACAACATTGGGTCGCCACTTTAAAGAGCCCCTTCCTCCACTAAGTTAAAACGAGCGACCAGCCAGCATGACAAACGATATTGATCTCCGATAGTTCACAACCCCTTTCGACCTCAACCTAGAAACGCTTAGCACGTATACACCACCAACCAGCTAGAGAGATGCTCCGTCTCCAAACACGCAGGCAAACAAACAAACGAACGAACCATAAAATCAGCCAGCAGATCATTGGAGCCCGAAGACTGCGTTCCCGTCGCTTCATTTATTCCTCGTCCCGTCCCCCCCCCCCGGGGCCCTGCGCGGGGTCGAGGAAGAAGACACTCGGGCGTCTGCGTCTGTGGCAGCGTGCGAAGCGCGATTTCGAAAACGACCTGCCGCCCCGTAGCATTTCCCCGTTTGTTCGCGAACCCGAATCGGCAGCCATCTCCTTTCTGGTCCGAGTCGGCGAGGGTATCAAGGCCGCTGCACGACCATGCAGAGCACGTTTGAGAAGGGAGCTATTATTTTATTTGATTTTCGCGAACGCCCGCCCGCCCGCCCGCCGGGCGCGACCGGCGAAAGTTTATGGCAGAAGTCCACCGTGCACAGAAGTCTCAGAAGACACCGCCTGGCCCAGACTTGATTTATAAAAGCTCGCTCGAGAACGAACAAGCAAACTGCGCGACTGCTCGCACGACAGGCGCCGCGCTGCGCTGCAGCCAGACGCCCGCGACGCGCGACCCAAAATGCCTCCCTGCGTTCACAGGCGCCGCGCAGACACCGTGATGACGTCACCCAACGACGTCACGTCCCTCGACGTGGTAAGTTTCCCAGCTGCGTTTTGTGCGGGGAAAGGGTGCACGCTTCGTCCGTGACGTCTTTTTTCACAATAAGACCCGAGACAAGAAAGAACGTAGTCTAACCCTAACTAAATTGAGCGGGTAATTTTTGCCGCGTGATCGCGTGACACCTGTGAACGCATTCTATGTTCGCAGGAGCATGACGGGAGCCTTTCTTCGCTTTCGAAGCTCACATAATGCGCGACATCCAGGAAAAGCGGAGCAAAGTGAAATGACACTTACAAATGTCGTTGAGTCCACGGCTCAATGAAGCGCCTTTCGGCGAAATATATTCACTAAATGTACCGATCTATCTGCCCATGCTTTAGTTCGCCCGCTCTAGTTTTATTTCGTGCACGACACGTACTGGGAAAAATCGTTGTACCGCCCGCGCGCGCCCGCACGCTGGAAGCTCGAGCAACACGAGAGAAGCTCGAAAACTTATTCTGGGAGGTTCGACGACCCGAGAAGGACTCGCTGGTCGCTTTAGTCGAGCTATCGGTAAGAGCATAGCCTCCTATATACTGGCAAAGCCTGGCAGATGGCCACGAGAAGCGGCCGCCAAAAAGGAAAAGGCAGACAACGGTTGACAGGAGAGCCACGTGGCTGGCGCCCCGCTGCGGCGAGACGCCGAAACACACTTCTCCCGACCGAACAAGTGTGTTTCGAGTCCTCGCCGCTGCAAAAGCTCTGCGCTGACGTCCAGGTTGGCCGAGAAATGGCTCTTTGATGCTCTGTACTACCAGACCGGGCACTCTACGGCTTCGCCGCCGAACTGCCAAGCTTTGTGAATATAGAGGAAGCGCTATGGTCAAACTCTCGGTAAGAGGAGCCAAAGCGGTCAACGCGGCCCATCTTCTACGAGGTTCGAACGGCGGGGCGGGGCAAGAAAGGTCAGAGAACTGACCCGAGCCGCTCCTTTTCCCTTGCCCGGAGTTCCAAGTCCCGCTGGATGACGGCCAGGATGCGGTCGCACTCCTCCTGGCTCAGGTGGGACAGGTTCAGGCGGCGACCCATGGCGGTAGCGTCCAACACAGGACAAACCTCCGGCTGTCTCACATGGCCACTGCACGCGGGGAAATAAAAAAAGAAAAAAGAACGCCGCTGTTTACTAACAAGTCTGCGTTCGCCCGCGCCAGGTGTGGACATTTCGTTTGCGGAGAAGCCAGCTTCGCGGGAGAAACTAAATGGGCCTCGTGATGTCAGGTCACGTGACATCAATTTTCACGCTAAATTTAGCGGGGAAACTGAATTGATGTATAAGAGACGTAACGTCAATTTAGCGAGAAATGCAAAACAGACAAATTTTTTTTTTTTTTCGGGGGGGGGGGGGGGGGGGGGGGGAAGTTGTGTAAAAAGCATTGTACGCTTTAAAAAAGAAAGATACCTGTTTGTTGTTGTTTTATTTGATGAACGAATGCCGTAACAAGGGAGGGGACCTTAGGGAGAAGGTGTCTTCCTTATTCGGGAGTTGGAAGATGGAAAAGAGCAAATACAAACACGCGTGACGAAGGGCGTTAGGCCGGAAGAAAAATGGCGTCTTCCAGCCCATCCTGCCGATGTGTGCCGCATGTATACACCCGAACCGTCAAGTCACAAGTGCGGGGCTACTTTCGAGCGCTCCGAATCTTTCGGAAATATACTGATGTAATGGTTTTCGATGACGCTTAACAAGTTTCTAATTGGATCCACGTGCTTATTTTCAAAAATTCAAAAGTAAATTAACAAACTAAGCGGCGCACGATCTCTCCACGAGCCAGCAGCCGCCGGTGTGCGCGAGCACACGCAACGAAATGGACGTCATTTAGTCCTGAAGATAAAGACGGGCTTTTCATTTCCGCGAGTGAAAGCTGCCTGGTTGTTAGGCCCAATTATTCGCCCGCCTTTTACACCGGACCCCACTGTGCGGATGAAAAACCTGTCTTTATTCTCCTTTTCCCCGGAGCCCACACATTTTACAGTCGTCTTTGAAGCGTGCAATTGCAAGACGGATTATGACGTCGATTTCGTTGCGTATGCTCGCGCCCACCGGCGGCTGCTTGGCTCGTGGAAAGATCGTGCGCCACTTATTACGGGCCCTGAAATGTGCCCATAAAAAATGCCAATCGACAAGAAAGCCGTTCTCAAAACACCCACTTCTGAAGGCAAACTTTGGCCGAGAAAAAAAATGGCGGGCCATTTCGCGACATTTCTATACGAGATCAAAGCCCGAAGGTATCGTTCACGCGCGCGTACGGACTACAGCATTTATCCGAGACAAAGCGGACGACACCACACGTTTCATGAGAAGACCGTATAGCATAGAAGGGAGGAAATAAAAGAAAAAGCTCGGAACATTCCCGTGACGTAAGCTGAGACGAGCTGCAGACACGAAAACAAAACAACAAAACAATACGAGGAAACGTGGACCAGCGCAGGACGTCAGCAAAACACTTCCTCTCGGAGTCGGGTGCGCCAATGGGAACCGGGAAAGTGGGAACCACGGTATGCGGCGCTCAGTGCGAGGAACGTTGTGTCGTATGTGGAATGGCTTGAAGTCGACGTCGCTATTTCGACTAAGGCGGAACACTGGAAAGAGCCAAATCGAGAGTGGAGAAGAGTGAACGCTCTCAAGCGGGGAACAAACGCGGTCGTTCAACGCGGAGTCATGCCCTATACACCACTGCGAAGCTGACAAGAAACGTTATAAGAATAAATATATATATATATATATATACGCTTTACAGCAAATTTGCATAGGCGCTGCCATCTTGGTGTGACGCGACCTTTCCGCCGTGGCTGACTTCCAGTTTCTTGTCAGTGCTATCAGCGCAGTGCGTTTTCTGCTAGAGGTATACGCGTATATGCACGGGCATAGGCCAGCACGCGGGCCACGAGCCGGCCCGCGGGGTCCGGGCTCAGGGTTCACGGCTAGATTCATGAAGGGGCCCTGGCTGGGCACGGGTCTTGCATGCTAGTCTACAAAGTGGGCCTTAACGGGTCAAGCGAGCCGTTACTTATTTTTGTTTAGATACACACATACACACACGCTTATGTGTGCTTGTACGGTCCGGTGCGTGCGCACCGATTGCTCTTTACAGAGTTACAAGCACACGTACGCGCACAGGCGTAAACCGTTTGTACGTTTACGAGTGCGTGTATCCACAACTGGGTGAAGAGGTTCCGCTGCCGTCAAAGCAGTTCTCTGGGGGTGCTTTTCCTGCCGGTGGCAATCAGTTCATCGACAAATTGTTTCATCGACAAATCGTTTCACTGACAACTCAGATTAGCTTATTTTTGTAATAACCTGCATTAGTCTAGGGGGGGGGGGGGAGGGGGGGGGGGGTTAACAGCCCGCACCTTAGTGATAAACGTCTTTTGTCCACCAAACCCGTCGCGCCGCTTCCCTTCCTTTTCAACTTTGGCATAAAGTTTTGTCAGCTGTTGCTTGCCTTTTATTATTATTATTATTATTATTTTCCGTCCTTTTCAATACGCACGTTTGGTCGCAAAAAAAAGCATACAATAAAAGTTATGATTTTTTTTTTTTTTAACGAGCTGGAAAAGACGCTAACTGCACTGAATATCGGTTACCATAATCAACATATGTGTAGCAGTGGTGAAAGCGAGCCGCCGCGCAATTTGTGGTGAGCTATTCATACCGGGCGAAAATAAAGCGGGCCTCAGCGGGGCCGTGGAAAGTTGGTGTTTAGCCGGGCCCGGCCGGCTGTCGAAGGGGGAATTAACATTAACTCAATTTACGGCACGTCTAATAATTGGGGTAGTGTGGGTATTTAGACAGCGTGTAGTTGGTCAGCCCACGGTGCCTTCATGTGCGCCTTGCTTAGGGTGGAGACATCCGGCCATTTTGTCCCACTTTTTTTTTTTTTCAGAAGCCCGTGAAAAAGCGTGTCCCTGCACGCGTTTGTGGCGCTGACTGTGCTATGGCGACATTTTGTTTTCGTCGATTTCTTTGTACCTTACCCGTGAGCGCGTTCTGTCGGCATCGGGTACTACAAAGGGTGACATCACCCTAAAGAGAAGGACATTGAGGCACCCTAGGTCAGTCATCTCAAAGTAGCGACGAGTCACTCGCTGTAGATGAGCAATTCAGCCAGTGCAATATAACGGCTAGCCTAGGGTCTTTAACGTGAACCACGCAGTAGTGATACTACGACCGCACGCCGGTACGATGCTCATCCAGATCGAAACGGGCAGGGGTGAGAATTGAGCCCAGGACCCCTGGGTTCTACAGCGCGAGCTTTCGCTCCACGTGCTCCCGATGTGCTCTAGCCCACTCAGCCACCGATCCCCCACCCTTTCGGTACGTCTCATTGGGCTGAAACAGCAAGCGTAGTAGAGTAAGCGAGTTGGCGGCGGAGCATCACACCATGGTCTGTAATCTGTGGGCAGTGATGGAAGCGGCATAGGACCTTCTGTAGCAGGTTTCCTAGCAGGCAAAATATCGGTTTAAAGCAGCCACGGACGGTTTTTGGAGCAGATGTCGGCGTCTGTTAGCACGGTCACTTGAAAATGTGATTGCATCGCTAAATGAGTTCGTATCTGAAAATGATTGAGGGTCCCTATACCCCTATTTGATACTCAAGATTATTACTTATATTGTGCTACAAGAATAGATGCGAAAGAATCACACAGTGTTCTTGTTTAGAAATAATGCTGAGGTGAGAAAAAACTCCACTTACAATATTAAAAAAAAAAAAAAAAAGTTCGAAAATGAGGCATAGAGGAGCAGTTCATTTAAGATAAGGCCTCTCTCTCTCCTTTCCAATTTTACACTTGGGGGTTAATGTAGCCTCTAGATACCTGTAAGATGTTGGGGGAAAAAATCAGCATATCCGCTGAAACGCCCACGGATAAAAATACGTTCCCGCAAGTTTTACAAACATCGAACTCAAGTTTCTAATCGTATAAACTGCAAAAACGAACACCAAACAAATATTATGAAAACATACATCTGTGATTTAAAAGAGGCCCTGCGCTTCAGCGGCGTTCGAACCAGAGTTGCGTCGAAGTTCGCTGCCCTTTCGAGTGACAGCTGCAGGGGAACTGTATACCTTGACTACCGTATTTATTCAGAGACCCGGCTTTTTTCTCCTTCATGGGCACATCTTTTCAAAATTAGAGGTCAACCCTGAATCAATACCAAACAAGGTCGACCATAGGATAGCACTGAGGATGATTTCCGAGCCAATCGCGCTAACCCATGCGCTCCCCCGTGTCGAACACTGCTCCTAGCACTCCGGTGCAAAGCGGTGAAGCTCGGCGCGCGGGCGCACTGGTATGGGGCCGTGAAGGTTGACGCGAGCCACGCCACGAAGACACCGTATAGCCACGTCATGGAGGCGTGTGGTGGACACGATAATCAACTTATATCATCGGGACTAAAAGACCCTGGGTCCGTGTTATTACAGTAGCCGCCATCCTACTATTTTGCAATTTCTCTCGCGCCTTTTAGCTCTCTACATCACCGACATCATCTGGAAATTCAGACGATGGCGGGGCCAGCGCGGTGGAGAGCTATCACGCAGCGTCGAAAGCGCGACATCGTGGCCTTGGTCAATTATCCGTACCTTACTATTTCATTGGGCAAACCAATCAAGCACCGCGAATGTTCGTAGGCTAGCGCTTTTAGTGCGTGTTCGTGAATATGTGTGCGTTTGAGCCTTCGACTGTGTTCTGACCTAAGACGCCGCCGACACATTATACGGAGGGTGGAGACGCCGTGAAATACATATTTGTCTCATTTTCGTTTCCTTCTACTTCTCCAAATATTAATATCGACCTATTATAATGTATTTCGTGAATATATAATTTGTATCGACTTAAAAGGAGACTGAACCGAAATTTGGATTTCGCAAAATAAGGGCGCAGAAGCATTGAACGGAACGCTACGAACTCCGAAACATCACTCGTACATCGATCTCTCAAACGGATGGCCATTTTGGAAAAGCAGGGCACAATCAAGCGAGGTCTATGACGTCATTGTCCTCCTGTAGAATATAAGAATGAGGGGAAGCGGCCTTGCTTCTCTCCCCCTCGCTTCGGTTCACCAGCTCGACTGAACGC